GTAACGTAACTGGTGACATTGGGTTACAGATACCCAGTCTTTACCATGCACAACAGAGTTGGAAAAAATGAAACATTTCATTGAAAATCGATAAAGTTACTTATATTTACACTTCTGAAATGTTTTCATTACAAAAAGAAATATAATCAAAGAAAATATAGTAACTGCACACAGAAAATGACAAATTAACATTCACTTCTTTAATCAAACATTTTGATACTTTTTTTTATGAATTTTACTAAAAAAAAATCATAACACCCTTACTCTAGTAAAATTAAACCTATATAACATGTTTTCGCATTATAAAATAGTACAAAAAAATAAAATGGAAGCTATTGTTCGATGCATTCACGACACATGGGAACAATGCAGCTTCCGCAAATTGGCACTTTGCACGTGTTGCAGATTTTCTTTGTCTTTCTGTCAGAGCCAGGTGGGCACTTCCTGCATCTTACTTGTTTGTCCAACTCCTGTCTGGTTTCTTGTGGAAGTGGTTTTTGCAATATTTTACTGATGCTAAGTCGTAGTTCTCGAGGCAAGCGTGTGTTTAGAAGTCTGTGATTCAAATAAGGCTGCACAAGTTCTCTGGCAAGTAGTTTGATGTACTGGAGCCTGGATACCTTTGGGTTACCAGGACATGCGGAATATATAACGTAAGAATTTACCATGCTGACGTTCATCAATGTGTAGAATATCGCTAACGGCCATCGTCTGGTGCGGCGACTTGTAGAATAGACTGTACACTTCTCATCTAATGCATCAACCCCACCTTTCGTGCTGTTGTAAAAAGCAATGATTTCCGGCTTTTGGGTTTCGAAATCGGTTGCTTGAGTATGGTGCATTGAAGAAACAAGAATAACAGCCTTACCCTTTTTTGGAACAGAGGAAACTAGTGTTATGTCATTTATAAAGCCGTAAAGGATATCTCCTACTTCTCTTTGTTTCGCAGGTAGAAACTCTTTTGGAATGTCTCTTTTATTTTTACGCAGAGTTCCTACGTAAGTCAAGCCTCTTTTTCTCAGTTCCTGAACAAGATCTATAGAGGAAAACCAATTATCCGCCGTAATGTTCCGGTTAGAGCCGACAATCGGTTCAGTTAGTTGCAGTACCGCCTGCGTTGGTTTGGAAAGCTTCCGCTCGTCATCGGTAAGTGTCCTGCCATCACTGTCCTTTCCGGAATAGATGTACGCATTTAGTAAATAGTGTGTTTTTGCGTCTGTGAGTGCCATTATTTTAATTCCATATTTTCTTGGCTTATTTGGAATATACATTTTGAAACGGCATCGACCGCGAAATCCAACTAGCATCTCGTCAACACAAGCATACTCTCCAATTGAGTAGCAATTACGGCAGTTTTCCAGAAATTTTTTTAATACCCATGATATGGCAGCCGTTGCGTCAGATATTTTTCTCTCCTCTCTATCTAATGCATCATCAAAACGTAGGCTTAGTAGTAAAACATATACCCTTTTTAGTGACATCGTACACCGGAAAATATCTCTGCCAGTCCCATCAGTCGCAAACATAGCTTCAAGATCTTCATGATTTGATTTGAAAATGGCCGTGAACATAAGGATTCCCAAGAACGCTTTGAACTCAATCAAGTCAGTGTCTCTATAGTCAGTACGAGTATTATCAGACAAAGTTTCTCTAATCATCGCCAATTTTTCATTGGTGCGTCGTCTTATTTCGTTTAAAATTTCCTCACTAAACAGAAGTTCCCATGGAGACTGGGGCTGACAAAATGAACCAAGTACTTTTGCTGGACCAATTCTTCCTGGAAGATGGGTGATAATATTGTGTCTTCTTGTACGAATATTTGAAGTGGGTGCTTGTTTCGACCATACGAAGCCATTTTTGCCATGATATTTGGATTGCTTTCGTAGACGTCTTTGCTTTCTTGCAAGAGGCTCGTTATCAGAAGAAACTGAGCTATCAGTTTCGATGGATGGCGATGATACTACTGATGAAGGGCGACTTGAAGGACCAGGAACATATCTAACTTCGACCTCACTGTCAGATGCTTCTTGTTCTGATGCACTAGCGTGGTCACTCTGGAAAGCTTGGTTTGTTATGTCTCCTTCATCGCCACTGCATTCACTCTCAAGCTCATCTAATACAGCTGTGGCCCACTCAAAAAAACCAGGGTCACTTGGTTTCATAGAAAGCTTTCTAGATGCCATAGCAAGCAAAAAATGAAAAACAGAAAATACGCCGGACAGTTACCTAACTGGTGAGGTCGGGTAAAATATACCCGAGTTTCCAAAATTTCGCGAATAAGCTCGGGCACCGCGTAGGCAGCGGACCACACACACTCGCTGCCGACAGACGGTATACTGACTTGAAGGTACCAGCAACAGCAGCGCCCTCGGTGTCAGCATATGTTGTCAGTGGCGTACTAAAACTTTGCCTGGGTATCTCACACCCAACCTCACCAGTTACGGGTTAAGCAGCCTTAGGGCCAACAACAGTCCGTTATTCTCCACCTATAGGGTAACAGCCCGTCAAATACAGCGAATGAGCTTCGAGTTCCAATCAACAAATTTTAGCAACCAATTGCTATGAAATGTAGAAAACACAATATAGTCAAAGTATGAGATGACATCTTGTCATTGAAACGACATCAGCTTATTGAATATTAAGAAATTACATATAATTCAGTCAAAATTTAAACAAATGTTTGATTTTTGAATAAAATTCATGTCGATTCTTTAATCATGTTTATATTATTTCCTTCAATTGAGATGCGATTTTACTGATTCAATATCATCTACTGGATGTTTTTTCCTATAAACCTCCTGCAGATAGCCATTAAGCACCTACATGATGACTGGCTCTACCAAAAACTTCATAGATATTGCTCGTTTCCAAACATTCATTCATTTACTTGCCGTTCATCAGAACCATTATGGCACCTTAGATTGATATTCCCACATAACCATTCTGGTTTTTTAATATCCATACATCCATAAAGTTAAATACTTTTCGTTGTTCAGGAACTTAACAAACATCCACACTATATTCACAGCGATTAAGAAATACCCAAATATATGTCGTAGAGTTACCAGCAAACCTAAAACCTGCAGAAAAACTAGAAATTTGCAATATTTTTCTTTTTTCACTGAGTACATATTCTGGGTTATATTTATATTAGACGTTATTTGAATCACAAACATATACACTGATTTGAATAACAGCTGATTATCTCCTGATATTTTAAAACTAACCATATCGACAAGTGACACATAATTCTGTGGGATCCGTCAACACTTCGTCCCAGTGGAGCAAACTCTGCCAACTGTCAAAATAAACTTTATTAATTCCCAGTCTTATTTTTGTTTTACTGTGCCTGCTTCGATATTTCAAATACGGCCAGGAATTATTAGCGCCTGGCTATTTTAGCCCTTCAATAACTCCTTATTTTAGATCTCTCCTTATTTTGTTTTTTCCACGCATTCATGGTAGAAAGAAAAATATTTTATCGAATATCGATACCGTATACCGTGCAGCAGGCACGCCCATCACTACTTTGACAGATTGCAGAATGATGTCAAGGTGACAATCGTTATGTGGCAGTTGTTTTTGTCTTTGTCTGAAACAGGTAAGTAGGCTTTGTGTATTTATTCATTTTTATTTTAATAGCGTTTCCAGAATTTCATATTTCGAAACGATGTCAAGGGCCGGCAGGGGAAAATCTTTCTCTGAGAACTGGAAATCATTAAACGCGCTGTTTTCACTCTATTTTATTCTATCCCTTGGGCAAGTACAGAATGAAAAGACTACAGTGCTCAGTAGCCACTCAGTGGCTCAGTGCTCGTCTGTAATGATAATATTCAAATACTACTAAACACCTAAATAGCTTTCTGGCCTTTCAATTTCGAAGCTACCAGTCCTCGCTTAGAGATGGTAACACAGTGAAGGATAGACTTGGGGTATAAAGTTACGGGTGTTTATGATTCCTCTCGATATCGATATATCATCATGAAACCATCGATGCGTAAAGATCGATGTTCTACGTCCGATGTATCGATGTTTTCGATACATCAATGTATCATCTATCGTCGCCATCCCTATATTGTATCCCCACCAGTCACCAGTCAAAAACCTTAACCATCACTATTTATAATTCTTTTTAGCTCTTATTTTTCAGTAATTACTAATAATTTTAGGTCTATGTCTACAGTAATTGCATTATGCACCTCGGAGATGTAGAGATTAACATGTTTTACACATATCGGTGTTTTAGGATGGGGACGACCATACTGTTTCGATTGCTTTGAAGAAATTCATTAACCCATGAATTTATAACAAATGATTACTATTATGATGTAAAGAGAGATGAGGAATTGGTTGGAATACATTTTATATTCTATATTCTTGCGAATCCGCACAATTCAAGGTATGTGTAGCTATAATGATCACATATACACACAGTATATTGAACTTAACAAATTTCGAGATTGCCATGAATTAACAAACGACCAAACCTGCTGCCAAATTTAACAGCTAGAAAATCGACCTATTATTTCTCCCAATCCCATTCGCTGAGTGGATAACGGATGGTCACATGTACACCTATAACATAAATCAAAATACATGAAAGTTGTCCTGTTTTCTCTGTACAAAAGCATCATGTTGGAATCAAAAAGTGGTCTTGTTTATAATACAGTCGAATTTTCACGATTTTATTCAATATTTTAATAGAAATCACTGATATTCTGACCTTTGACAGCTTCCGTCAAATTGCATTTCGATAAGGTACTTTCCTATTGGTCCATAATATTAATGTTGGTGAAATCGGCCCTAAGCTTAGCAGAACTGAGATAGGCATTTGGTCCCACAGACTCTGCTGCTTGGTAATAGAGGAGCGGTCATATCGGTCAGTTCTGGATGTACGAAGTTCGACTGGAAGGCAAAAGATGGGATATAACAGCAACAAAGTCCTTTGTCACCTGTGCGTGAGCGATTTCAGCACGAACCAAACATTTTCAAATTTCAAGAATTCTAGGAAAAGCTCCCCAGGCTACCTATTGGATGTCTTGCGATCGAAGGGACACATAAGACGAAAATGCTTTGACAGTTATGTGTTCCTACTGTTCGTAGACTATATACCTGCTACAAGCAGAGACTATAGCAATGAAAATGAACAAATCCCATAGGGACGATAACAGAATTTCTCGTTTCACCGAACGATACGGGAATGAATGTTATCTACCCCCTAGCAGGGTGGGAGTAATTGTTTTACTAATGCCTCTCTACGGATGCCTGAGGGGTATTTAAACAGATATAGTCATAGTTTTATGTGGTTGAAATTTTGTGTGAGATTCTGAGATAGTTTTGCTGACAGTCCAGGACAACATTTTCGATAGAAGCCAGCATAAAAGCAAAAAAGATTGCTTTTAGCTTTGTTTCCTTTACGTATTGCTGGTATTAGGCTGGGCTTTCTTTCTCTGATTACTTTGAATCAGTAAACAGTTTGGGTTCAAGAGTGTCCAAACTAACAATGAAATGCTTACCAGTAGGGTATTTCCACAATGCATTTTCTATTGCTGAAACTGTATTGAAAGAAATTAAAATATTAAGCTAAAAGGTTTTTTATTTTTAATTCGGATACCGATATATAGCCATATGTTTCATGTTAAACTGTTATCGTTAAAAACTGGAGGTTATTTTCCTGATGTCTCACAATAGATTAACCTAGAGGGGGGGTGTAGGATCACATTCTAGGGATATGGAAAACCTAGTTACGTCTTACTAGACCCTTAGCGCCAAACTTTAGGTTTAAAAGGGGTAGCTTTGTGATTTCTCGTAAAAACGGAAAAATATTGATAACCATTTGAAATAAAAATTTTGAGTTTCTGTAGAGGCCCAGCAGCTAAATAAAAATAGAGCGTGCTTTGCATATAGGAAATGATGTGTGAAAGAAAGTGAAAATAATTGTAACAAACAAGAGGGAGATGAAGTATGGAAATTCTCTAGAAAAAGCTTTCTATTTGCTTTAGGAATAGAAATCGTGGACCTTGGCCCACGGCGGAACCCCTTGTTTCACACTTCGGAATCGCACTCATTTCAGTTCAGGTTTTTTTAATGACTTTGCTGTTATCTGATATACACATTTATGCAACTTTTATCAGATATTTTTACCAATCTATGTCAGATGCAATTTTCCAAGAAAGTATATTGGAGATTAGAAAATGTGTTATCGATAAAGGAAGTTCATAACGGAGTGTCTTCAGCATCTATTGATCGACCAGCCAAAGATTGCTAGGGACGAAAGGGGGAAATGCGATGAAAAAACCTTACCATTAGACGATTTTATATGGAGTCATAGGCGGAGATCGGAGAGACTTGAATTATTAATTGAATTTATATTTTATTACAACTGGTAGTATTAATATTTTTTTGCGATTCATAATGACGTGATACCAAACATACATTATAAGAAATAAATATACACAAACACTGAATATTGAGAACAAAATAAATATATTTTTTAGGCAACAAGTAATATTCCTATGTACGCATTATGATTGAACAGCAAAACAAATTATGCATTCTTCTAAAATAGAATACAACAAGTCAAAAATATCTGACTGAATAGAAAAATATAGGAAAACAAAAAGTAATTTCTTGATGAAATAACCCATAAACAACACATAGAATTAGACTTTCTACTGAGATACTAAAAGCCACAAACCAATAGTATAATAAATGAATATCTAAAAATTCTAAAAGGTAGCCAATCTAGTATAGTTTCAATCCTGATTAGAGTCATGATCACTGTCTGAGGAACTGTCATTGCTATCACTTTCACCTCCTATGTTGATTATTATTTCTTCCTGTATTTCTTGAATGAGACTGTCTTTTTCCCAATATTCATCTTCAATTTTTATAACATGTCCAATAACCTTTTGCCAGTCACTGGCACTTACTGAAGCGATGGCCTTATTAGAAATTTCATCTAGTTTTTTTATAGTAAATTCGCCGCTTGTATTATGGCTTCTAATGAAAAATTTTACTTGTGCCCAAATCATCTCTATGGGATTAAACTGACACATATAGGGTGGCGTTCGAAGTGGGGTGTGTCCGAAACTTCTTATTAAATTATCTATCTTATAATTTTTCTCATCAGATGGTGGCCTATGTAGACAAGCTATTTCATAAAGCTCCATTTTTTTAGCATTAGGATCATGCTCTATACCTTTTTTGCTCAACCACGTGATGATGTCTCTTTTTAGAGAAGATCTAGTTGGAGGCTTGTCTTCCAAAGCTGAATGGTAAGGTGCATTATCCATTATTATAATACTATTAGGAGGAATGTTAGGAAATAGTTTTTCAGTAAGCCACTTCGTGAAATTTTCTTGGTTCATTTGACCGTGATAATCACCAGTGGCACAGCCAGCCTTGAAAATGAGACAGGCTCCAGGAACAAAACCATCTTGCGAACCCGCATGAACAATTATAAGTCGTCCTGGAAATGAATAAATAGCCTCATTTTAGTGTTATTTTAAGTTTGCCAACACCTTTTTGAATCACTATGTATAAAAAACATATTTTTGAGAAAAAAATACTTGCAAGGGATTATGTATTCAATTAGACAAATTAAATGAGCACTTATTAAGAATATTCCAAAATTGAGAAAAATGTATAATAAGCAAAATCGAGGTGAAAGAAACTTTATTACCTGTAGAACTTATATTGCTCAGGACACCCATAATTTCTTCGCTTTGCCAGCATTTCTTGAAAGTGAGGTCATTATCAACCCAAGTTTCGTCCAAATAAATAATATGCCTTCCTTCTTCCCGGAACTTTTTAATAGACCTAAGATACTTGTATCGCCAATGTAAAATACTGGGTCTTTCCATTAGTAATTTCCTTTTGTTGTGGCATTTACGCCAGTAAAATCCTTTTGCTTTTAAAAGCAGCCTCAACGATTCTTTACCAAATGGAAATTCCATTTCTTCCTTCAGTTTGATTAGAAGTTTACTACAAGTAGGTACCACTTTAAAATCACAGTAAAATTTTTCTATCATTCTCCGAATAATGGAAAAATCGACTCCATCAATTTTTTGGATCACAGAAGGGCGTGATCTCTTTTTTCCGGGAGAAGCTAAAGGCTGTGTGGAGGTTGCATTTTGCCTGTCTTTATCTTCTTTTCTAATTTTACTTATAGTTCGTTCACTAACACCCGTATAATATGCCGCCCTTGCATTTCTAGCTACCAGTGGATAAACGAAAGTATTGTTAGCCGCTTCTGCATCGCAAGCACGTATCACGTTTGCTATTATTTCCCTTGCCTGGCTGTGAATAACTTTCCCATGCTTGAATTCCATTATCACCACTAAACAGTAAATTATATTTTCAAAGTATTTGCCAACTGCCTACGCCTATGGGAGTAGGTTTATAAATGACCGTGCCATCGGCACGTTATTCTAGTTTCAGATAAGATAAGAGTTTTGGACCAATCAGCGACCGGATGTTTACCTGCGGCCTGGGTTTTCCAGCTACATTGCCAAATTCAGCGGAACAATTCTATATCTTAAATATGTTAATATGTATGGACCGCATTTTATGTAGAACATCTGACAACTTCGCAATTTTTTGTCCGCATTCTTTCGGCTTGCAATCTTTCGCTGGTCCAACTATACATATGAGGATAGATGTCAGTTGCCTTGTGCAGATTAATCAACGTAACGTGCTCCATAATTCAGCGCGGATGTCGTGGACAGTTACTACACGGTTGATCGGGTAGTTAGCTGCTCAATTACCATATCGAAACGCACTCTACCAGACGCCGGTGCTGAGTATTCGAGGGAATTTAGAATTCCCGGTATACTCGTACTTAGGCCCTGTGTTAATGTGTTAGATTACATCGTAAAATGTTCTGAGGCTATTTTCCAATTTACACTCAATTTACTAGTCCACTTGTAAGACACATGTGCACATTTGTAGTTTTAAAGATGTATTTGTCAAAACTCTTTCAAAAATTTCATGTTGCATATTTAGTGTTTAGTAAGCTTTTGAAAACTTTTGCAGCATGTTACTAGAGTTTCGATCCAACTTTAGCTTATAGAAAAGTTCGTTTACGTGGAGGTAATTGACTGACAGAATCTACTCACAGTTACCAATTTCAATATTCTAGTATGAATACTGATACAATTGCTAGTGATAATGCTGAGTACTTATTTACAGGTATGTCGCACCCCTATTCCATTACAAACGTCGGTCGACAGAAAATTCACAAAGCACTGTTGGAGAAAAGATTTACACGCAAAGAATGGGAAAGGAAGGGTATTTCATACATGCCAAAAAGGAACGCAATTTCAAGACGATATGGGATTTCCCGTTATACGCACTTCTGGTCCTATGATCCCTGCTCCACAACTTGCTCAGGTCCACCCTACGGGGCAACATTTCGACCACTTATTGAAGTAAAAAGTGATATTTGCGTTTGTTTTTGTTTTCTATCTGAACAAATTTATAAAAATAAAGATTTTTCTAATTTTCTCGAAATCAAATCGACTGATTTCAAAAATCAAACTTCAAAATAAAGGACTTCGAAAGACCTCAAACAAGCCATTATATGAGATACTCCTTGTTATTTAAAATTTTCAACGGAATGACCCTGGGGGCAGAGGGTGAAAGGGGGTCAAGTAGTTTTTCGTTAAAAAGTTGTCCCCCTTGACAAATCCTTTGACGTGTCTCGGCGTTTTTTCTTTTCATCAGTGGTATTCGATAAATCCGTTTCAAATGAACACTCTGTATATTATTTCTGGGATGTTTCATTTGAAATAGTCCGGTTCTTTGTCTAGAATTTTTACATTTGTGAAATCACATTCATGCTGATTGTCAATTATTGCATGTTTGGCTAATTCGGTGGACATTCTTATGTCATAGTTGTGCTAATTCATCCTTTTCTTTTGTATTGTATAGTCTGGCCTGTTTATGAACTTTGCATTTTATTATATCTCTAATTGCCTTGCAGATTTCTTTCGATCGGAGGTTTGTTTCAGGTTTGAAATCAATCTTTAACAGGTTTTTGTGCTACATGAAATTACTTTACATAAATATATTTTTTTTTTTTTGAGATGTGGTCATTGACGTCTAGACCAGTTAGTTGAAAAATTAAAGCTTCCGCCTTTTGTTGGGTACTTGGACA